GGCCAGAGAAAACTCTTGATGATTAGATTCTTGGCCACCAAATTCCAGTATGATTTTAATGCTGCCTAGCAATCATACCATATCTTTCCAGTACCTTCACTTCCCACCCACCTAGACAAATGATTTTTGCCCTTTCTCAGACCTCCAACACTTTGTCTCCCAACCTCACTCTTCACGGATAACCAGCATCTGTTTCATGAAGGGAACTGAGGCTTCAGAAGAGAATTTCAACCACCTCTTATTTCCCTACCCTCTCACATCTGTGCCCATGTTTTCGTCCATTTTGTGCTGCTGTAAAAAAAATACCCGAGACTGGGTAATTTATGAAGAAGAGAAATTAATTTTCTCGCAGTCTGGAGACTGAGAAGTTTAAGGCACCAACAGTTTTGGTTTTCTGGTGAGAGCTGTTCTCTGCTTCCAAGATGGTGCATCATCCGAGGAGATGCAGGCTGTGTTCTCACATGGTGGAAGGCAGAGGGGCAAGTGAGCTGAATGCCGAATGAAGCCTCGTTTATAAAGGGCTTTAACCCACTCATGAGAGAGGAGCCCTTGTGGCCTAATCATCTGTTAAGGCCCCAGCTCTGAGTACTGTCACACTGACAACACCTGAATTTCAGAGGGGACACATTCAACCCATAGCAGCCAATATTCTGTCTTCCCTTGTCTCCTGTTATTGTGGATATAATGTTCTGTACTCCTATTTATGACCAACACGTCCACATTTGCACCAGCTCTCATCCCTTCTTGGCTATTCAAAGACATTCCTCCAAAGAGTCTCCTTTCTCCCCCACATCATCACATTAAACCGGGTGTGGTGGCTCATGACTGTAATTCCAGCAACTTGGGAGGCTGAGGTGGAAGGATGGCTTGAGCCCAGGAATTTGAGATCACCCTGGGCAACATAGCAAGACCTCCATCTCTAAAAATAAAAAGAACTATTTTAAAAATGTTTAGCCTGGCATGGTGGCTCACACCTGTAACCTCAGCACTTTGAATGGCTGAAGTGGGTAGATGGCTTGAGCCGAGGAGTTTGAGACCGGCCTGGGCAACATGGTGAGACTCCGTCTCTACAAAAAAAAGTTTTAAATTAGCTGGGTGTGGTGGTGCACACTTGTAGTCCCGGCTATTCGAGATACTGAGGTGGGACGATTGCTTGAGCCCAGCAGGTTGAGGCTGCAGTGAGTCATGGTCACGCCACTGTACTCCAGCCTGGGCAACTGAGTAAGACCCTGTCTCAAAAAAACAAAATTTTTTTTCAAGTATACACAAAAGTAGACAGGATAATGAACCTTGTATATCATTACCCAGTTTCAACTATTAGAAACATTTTACCAATCTTATGTCATTTACTCTTCTTCCCTACATTTTCTAAAGTTTTTTTCTTATTTTGAAAACCTTGCCTTTGTCTGTTTTCTGAAGTATTTTAAAGCAAATCCCAGACATCATATTATTTTGCCTATAAATACTCCAATACACATTTCTAACATAATGACTTTTAAAAATGTCAGTCACAACAGCAATTATCATATCTAACAAGTTTAAATATACAACTAGGTATTAAATTTCCCATATTATTTCAAAAAACTTTTTTTTTATGTGGATTTGTTCAAATCAGCCTTTGAACACATTATATTTGGCTGGCATGATTTTTAAGTCTTTTGTCATCTCTAACAGTATTCCCCCCCCTCCATGTTTTCATGCCATTTATTTGACTTATTTTTAAAAAACAGATCATTGTTTCCTGTAGAAGTTCCCACATTCTGGATTTGGCTCTTGCATCCTCATCGTTTTGTTTAACATGTTCATCTTTCTTCCATATTTCCTGTGTATTGGTAGTTATATCTAGACACTTGATCTCCTTCTCTCTTGAATTCATCCCAGTCATGCTTTCACCATGCTGGGGCTCAGAACAGGATACCCCAAAGTATGGCACTTTGCCATGCTATGTATTTTGAATGAAAAGGGATTTGAAGGCCTCAGAAGCAAGGTCTCTCTGATGTTCTTCTATTCTCCTGTCTCTCACCCCATTTTCTCCCCAAAAGCCAATCATGGAAACCAGAATTCTCTTCCCCAAGGTGGTTCACAGAAATGAGAATTCCTGTCCCCAAAAGCAAGCCATAAAACCTAGAAAGATCACTCTCTCCCTTCTTCCTTCTCTCTTCTCCCTGGAGACCCTCACTCCAGAGGGGTCATGCCCCACACCAGAGAGGAAGAAACGTTACACAGAGAGGCCAAGAAGAATCTGGACAGGCCTTGCTGGACATCCCCTCTTAGCCTGTTACTATTAGAGCACACACTTTTTGCCTAATCACATGTCTACATGGCTGTCCATTCTTTGTTGAATCTATGCATAAAAAGTTCTCCCACGACTTTAGGGCTTCATTTCTGAAGGCTCTTGTGTCATGTCAAACTTAGATTATATGAATCTGTTGCTTTTCTCCTGTTAACCTGTTTCGTTATAGGAATGTCAGCTGTGACCCTTACGATGGGGAGGAAAGGTACCACCTTCCTCTTCCTGCAACCACAATTGTTGCTCTAAAGCTATGTGTGTCTTCAAGTTTGTTAGTGACCCGCGTTGCTAAATCTAATGGTCTCAACCCTCATCTTCCTCGATCCATCAGCAGTATTTGACACTATCAATCACTTTCTCCTCATTAGTGGGTTTCATTATTAGGCTTACAGGACACCACACTTTTTGTTGTTTTACTTTTACCTCATTTTTTGCTCCCTGTCAGTCTCTTTTCCTGCTGGCTCCTCTTTATGATTCCTACCTCTAAATGGTGGCATGCTCTTGGATTAGTTCTTACTCTCTTTTCCTCTGCATCTGCATTGACTCCATGGTGACCTCATCTAGTTCTCAGGCTTTAATAACTGTTTTTACATGCTGAACTCTGGTTTTGGGGTTGTTGTTGTTGTTGTTTTGAGACAGTGTCTCATTCTGTCGCTCAGGCTGGAGTGCAGCGGCATGATCATGGGGCTCACTGCAGCTTCGACTTCCTAGGCTCAGATGATCCTCCCCCTTCAGCCTCCCGAGTAGCTGGGACCACAGGCGAGTGCAACCACACCTGGCTAATTTTTGTATTTTTTGTAGAGATGGGGTTTTGTCATGTTGCCCAGGTTGGTCTCTAACTCCTGGGCTCAAGTAATCGGCCCACCTTAGCCTCCCAAAGTTCTGGGTTTACAGGCGTGAGCCACCATGCCTGACCCCTGTACGGGCTGACTTCTTAATTTGTAGCTTCAGCCTGGATCTCACCCAAGAAATCAGAATTCATATAACCAAACTGTGTCTTTGATATATCCATTCGAATGTCTAAAAAGTGTCTCAGGTTGATCACATTAATCATTTAACACATGACTTCCTTCCAAATATGCTTCTCTTGTAGTTTGCTTCATTTCAGTTGATGGCAACTCTGCCTTTCCAGTTTTTCAGGCCAAAAATCTTACCGTCATTCTAGACTTTTTCTTTCTCTCTACCCGTATCCAATCTGTTGGCAAATTCAGGTGACTCTACTTTCAAAATATACCCCAAATCTGGTCATTTCTCACCACCTCTACTACCATCATCTTGATTCGGTCCACTGCCACCTCTTACCTCATATCGTGGCCTCCTAACTGTTCTCTCCTCTGTTCTTATCACAGCAGTAAAGTGGTTTTTTAGAAATGTAAGTTACATGAGGACACTCCTCTGCTCAAAATGCCCCAATGATTTTCTATCTGCTTAGAGTAAAAGCCGACAGACCCTCCACGTCCTGCCCTACTAATATTTCCCTGACACATCTCCCAATATTCTCCTTCTTCACTTATACCACTCCAGCCACTCTTGTTTCTAGCATATGCCTCACACTGTTCTCAACTTGGGCCTTAGTATTTGGTGTTCTGCCTGGGCTGTTCTTCCCTGAACCTTTCTCACCTCCTTCAGGTTTTGTCCTTTCCCAACCACCCTCTTCAAAACTACATTCCCCTAAAAGTACAAGTGAGGAATCAATAGGCATAGCATTTGTGTTTCTTTTTGACTTTTATTATTACTTTCTCAATCTTCCCATTCTTTGCCAGCATTTCTGTTTTGATAAATATTGCCAGATTACCATCACCAATAATGTATAAGCATGTAAGTTTCCCCCATAGATTGACCAACTGAGGCTACTAACTGTTGAATTTTTGACAATCACCGTATAGTTTTAATTGGCATTCCTTATGAGAGCCATTTTAATTGGCATTCCTTTGAGAGCCATTTTTATTTCCATGTCTGAAAACTGTAAGCTCATATCCTAGGCTCACTTTTCTAAGGATATTGGTGTTTCTCTTATTTGTAGAAGCTGTTTGTACATTAGGGAAATGAGTACTTTGTCTACGATATGAGTTGGAATAAAATTTTCCTAGTTTGTCATTTGTCTTTGACTTTATTTATGGTGGGTTTTTCTACGCAGAATTTTTTTTAATTGGAAGTCTAATTTATTCATATTTTCTTTTATGTGTTCTAAGTATTATATTTTAAAAGTCCTCTCCCACCTGAGATAAATATACATATTTTTTCATCAAACTTTTGAACATATTTATATTTTTTTATCTATCTGGAATTCGTTTTGGGACAAGATGTGAAGTATACTTCTAACTTTAATTTTTTTTCCAATATGGCCACCCATTTGTCTCCATACCATTTATTGGATACTCCACTGTTTTCTCCATGACATGAAATGCAGAATGAAAGGCAGAATTTAATGGTTGTGAACTGAAGTTGAGGTACCAGCATTTTCTCTTTGTGAAACCTGTTCTGGCAGAGCCCTTCTGCATGCCACTGAGAGCGGCAAACAAGTCAAACCTGTAAAGTGCTGAAAGCCCACACCCAGAAAGTGCATGGATAATGTCTCCAAATTGTAGCTTGAGATGTTGTGAGCACATGATTCTGATATAATTAGTTCTCCACCCCACGCACATTCTCTCCAATATTGTTAAAGGGTGGCAAAGAATAGTCACATAGTTTTTGGTTGTTTGTTTTGCAGACTGATTCCATCTCCATTCGATGAAGACCACACCTTAATACTTGCAAATCATCTTGAACTATGGATAACAAAGGTGCTACTGCAATCCTCACGTTATCTTTTAGATTTTCAGACTTTTGTGATTTCAGCATTCTAGGCTTAATAAAGTTTTATTTAAATTGTATAAATGTATCCATCTGTGCTTAACTAACTGAAACAGAGCCACTGGATGTAAAGAATGAGGGCTGAAGCTTTGGGGGATGGGATACAACTTTCAAATTGGTGATATCATATGAGACCATTATAGGTAGTTTACCTGGCATCTGTCTACTAGGCTGCTTTTTAAACTAGGACACACATCTATTGTTTAGTGATAATTATACTGATAAGGACACGAAGAGACTGTAAAATCCTGCTGAACTATCTGAAATAGTTTTGTATCATTAAAAGTAATTATGAGAAATACATTTTACATTTTAAGGCTATTTGACTGTATTTCTTAATGGAAGTACTTAGTGGTTAGGAGTTTTTTCAAGACACAAACAGGAGTGCAATCTGGATTCTTCTATTTTTTCTCTGAATGACTTTAGCTAGTTATCTAACCTCTGTAAGCCTTAATTTTTTCCTATGTAAAATGGTGATGATAATAATAGTACTTACTATTATAGAGATTAGTGAGAAACTCTATTTAGAACATAAGTGCTAAGGCATTTCCACTGAATCCTATTAGCAAAGATCAAAAAGTTTAAAAATACATTTGTTGGTAAGAGTCTGGTGGAGATAGGTACTCTCATACATTGCTTGGGAGAGTGTAAATTAGTGTAGCCATTACATAAGACAGTTTGGCAATACTTACCAAAAATTAAAGCCCACATACTTTATTTTTTAATTGTATGTATGTATATTTGAGACAGGATCTCACTCTGTTGCCCACGGTGCAGTGCAGAGGCGTGGCTCACCCGAACCTCGACCTCCTGGGCTAAATTGATCCTCCCATCTCGACCTCCCAAGTAGCTGGGACTACAGGCATGCACCACCATGCCCGGCTAATTTTTGTATTTTATGTAGAGATGGAATTTCGCCATGTTGTCCAGGCTGGTCTTGAACTCCTAGGTTCAAGAGATCTGCCCACCTCAGACTCCCAAAGTGCTGGGATTATAGGCATGAGCCACTGTGCCTGGCTCACATACATACTTTACCACCAGCAATTCCTCTTGCTAGAATTTTTCAAACAGATGTACTTGTAAATGAGTGAATTGATACCTATATGTGGATATTTATTGTAATACTGTTATGGTAGGAAAAGTATGGAAACAACTAAAATCTCCATCTATAAGGGGCTGCTTTGATGGATTTATGCAATCAAATACAGGTTGAAAATCCCTTATCCAAAATTCTTAGGAACAGACATGTTTCAGATTTTGGATATTTTTGGATTTTGGAATATTTGCATATACATGATGAGATATCTTGGGACTCAAGTCTAAACACAAAATTCATTTATATTTCATGTATACTTTATACACATAGCCCGAAGGTAATTTTATACAATATTTTTAACAATTTTGTGCATGAAACAAAGTTTTGACTTCAACCTGTCACATGAGGCCAGGTATGGAATTTTCCACTGTGGCATGTGAGCCCTCAAAAAGTTTTGGATTTAGGGAGCATTTCAGATTTCAGATTTTTGGATTAGAGATAGGCAATGCTATGGTTTGGAAGTTTGTTCCACTAAACCCCATGTTGACATGTGATTCCCGATGTTAGAGGTGGAGCCTAATGCAAGGTGTTTGGGCCTTGGCAGTGGATCCCTCATGAATGGATGAATCCCCTCCCACCTCCCAGGGGAGAGGAGTGAATCAATTTTCACTCTATTAGTTCCCACAAGAGCTGGTTGTTAAAAAGAGCCTGGCACCTCCTCTTTCTCTCTTGATCTCTGCACACACCAGCTCCCCTTCACATTCTTCTAGGAGTGCAAGCAGCCCATGGCCCTTACCAGATGCAGAATCACAATCATGAACTTTTTCAGACATCACAATCATGAGCCAAATAAACCCTTTTTTCTTTATAAATTACCCAGTCTCGAGGCACAGTGGCTCATTCTTTAATCCCAGCATTTTGGGGGGCTGAGGCAGGTGGATCGCTTGAGCCCAAGAGTTCAAGATGAGCCTGGGTAACAAAATGAGACCCTGTCTCCACAAAAAAAAAAAAAAAAAAAAAAAGGCTGGTGTGATGGTACACGCCTGTGGTCCCAGCTACAAGGGAGGCTGAGGCAGGAGGATTGCTTGATTCTGGAAGGTAGAGGCTGCAGTGAGCCATGATCATGCCGCTGCACTCCAGCTTGAGTGATAAAGTGAGACCTTGTCTAAAAAAAATTAAAAATTAAAAATAAATAAATAAATAAATAAAATAAATTACCCAGCCTCAGGTTTTTCTCTATAACAACACTAAATGACTAAGACACTCAACCTGAACCATGCCAGAAAAAAGAATGAGGAAACATTTATGTTACGACATGGGGTATTGCCAAGATATAGTGTTAACTAGAAGAAGGAAAGTATAAAACAGTGCATAAATGAGTGGCAAGTAGATGATACATGTACATATTTGCTGTATAATCACAGAAAATGGTAGCACTAAATTTCTCTAAAGCTTGAATTTGGGTAGTTGAGTGGCCAAGAAAATTTTCACTATGTATTCCTTTTCATCTTTTGATTGTACTTTGTGAATGTGTAGCTTTTTAAAAAATAAAATGGGCTGGGCACAGTGGCTCATGCTACTTTGAGAGGCCGAGGTAGGAGGATCACTTGAGTCCAGGAGTTCAAGATCAGCCTCAGCAACAAGATGAGACCTCCATCTCTGCAAAAAATTAAAATTTTAGCGAGGCATTGGGGAACAGGCCTGTAGCCCCAGCTATTCAGGAGGCTGAGGCAGGAGCATTACGTGAGCCCAGGAGGTCCAGGGTGCACTTCAGCCTGGGTGACAAAGTGAGACCCTACCTCTAAAAAATAAGTAAATAAATAAATAAATAAAATAAAATAAAACATATATAAAATATATGGAACACTCATGACACAGGATAAGCATGCAATAAATGTCAACACTTATTTAAAATGTTCACTTAATGATAAGGATTATCTTCCACTAAAATGAAGATATCCAGAGACTAAAAAAAAAAATACCTGTTTAAAAATGGAAATACTAGGCCAGATGCGGTGGCTCACACCTGTAACCCTAGCACTTTGGGAGGCCGAAGGAGGAGGATCACATGAGCCTAGGAGTTTGAGGCTGCAGTGAGTTATGGTTCCACCATTGCACTCCAGCCTGAGTGACAGAGACCCTGTCTCAAAAAATATTATGATATATAAGTACTTTTAAACAATTGGTCTTAGTTTTAAGTTATAAGGGCATTTTTTTGGGGGACACATGAAGTCCTACAATCTGGTCCTTTATCATTTACATCTCTAATAAAGGTATTAAAATATCCGTAATTTAAAAAAATCTACTTATATGCAAAGAATATGACTAGAAGGAAAAGTTTTCATATACAAATGAAAATTTCTCATGATTTAGTCTTTGAGCCATTGGAGGTTTGGTAGATAATAGATGTCATTTAAACTTCTCTCAAACATTACCAGATTTTGAAAAACGAATAAAAATATTGAACATATTTTAGATAGATTTATTTATATATAGTTGTGTTTTGTTTATAGTCCTGAGCTTTGAGCAAATCTGGATAAATTGAGAAAAAATGAAAAATGGATAATTTGTTTCCATTTGTGTTTTCTTTCTTTCTTTTCTTTTTATCTTTTCTTTTTTTTTTTGAGATGGAGTTTCACTCTGTTGCCTAGGCTGGAGTGCAGTGGTGCGATCTTGGCTCACTGCAACCTCCACCTCCCAGGTTCAAGTGATTTTCCTGCCTCAGGCTCCTGAGTAGCTGTCACTACAGGCATGCACCACCATGCCCGGCTAATTTTTGTATTTTCAGTAGAGACGGGGTTTCAACATGTTGGCCAGGCTGGTCTCGGATTCCTGACCTCAAGTGATCTGCTCGCCTCAGCCTCCCAATGTGCTGGTACTATAGGCAAGAGCCACTGCACCTGGCTCTTCCTCCCTCCCTCTTTTCTTTTTTTTTCTCTTTCTCCTTTCCTTTCCTCTCCTCTCCTTTCCTCTCCTCTCTCCTTTCCTCTCCTTTCTTCTTTTCCTTTCTGTCTCCCTCCTTCCCTCCCTCCCTTCCTCCCTCCCTTCCTCCCTCCCTCTTTTCTTTCTCCCCTCCCCTCCCCTCTCCTCTCCTCTCCTTCCAACAGATCTCACTATGTTGTCCACGCTGGAGTGAGTGGCTACTCACAGGTGCCATTATAGCACACTGCAGCCTTGAACTCCTGGCCTCAAGTAGTCCCACCTCAGCCTCCTGAATAGCTGGAACTACAGGTGCACACCACATGCCTCACTTCTTTTTCCATTTGACTTATATGTATTTAGGCCATCAGGCTGTTCTGCCTTTTTTTTCAATAAGCTACACATGTAGGTTTCTCACTTTTATTAAATATTCCGTTATTGACATTCTATTTTGTTCTCTCTTACACTTGGTAATAACAGCTTCACATATTTTATCGGTTTTTAATTTCTTAGACATAAACATTGATATGGTTTGGCTGTGTCGCCAACCAAATCTCATCTTGAATTGTAGTTTCCATAATCCCCACGTCATGAAGAGAAGTGAATCATGGAAGTGGTTTCTCCAATCCTGTTCTCGTGATAGTGAGTTACTTCTCACAAGATCTGGTGGTTTTATAAGGGGCTTGCTTCCCCCTTAGCTGGGCATTCATACTTCTCCTTGCTGCCACCATGTGAAGAAGGATGTGTTTGTTTTCCCTTCCGCCATAATTATAAGTTTCCTGAGCCCTCCCCAACCATCCTGAACTGAACTGTGAGTCAATTAAACCTCTTTCCCCCCTTTTTTTTTTGGAGATGGAGTCTCACTCTGTTGCCCAGGCTGGGTTCAGTGTCACAGTCATAGGTCACTATAGCCTTCAGCTGTTGGGCTCAAGCAATTCTCCCACCTCAACCTCCCATGTAGCTGGGACTACAAGCATCCACCACCACACCTGGCTAACTTTTGTATTTTTAGTAGAGATGGGGTTTTACCATGTTGGTCAGGCTGGTCTTGAACTCCTGGTCTCAACTGACCCACCCACCTCGGCCCCGCAAAGTGCTGAGATTACAGGCGTGAGCTACCATGCCTGGCCAAACCTCTTTCCTTTATAACTTACCCAGTCTTGCCAGGCACACTGGCTCATGCCTGTAATCTCAGCACTTTGGGAGGCCAAGGCAGGTGGATCACCTGAGGTCAGGAGTTCAAGACCAGCCTGGCCAACATGGTGAAACTCCATCTCTACTAAAAATACAAAAATTAGCTGGATGTGGTGGTGTGCACCTGTGATTTCAGCTACTTGGGAGGCTGAGGCAGGAGAATCGCT